TGGGAAATGTTGGGAATTGGGGATTTTCCCACCTGGAGCACGTGCAGCCCCCCCAGGCAGACGACGGCGAGCTCCTGCAGCCCATCCCCCGTCAGGTCCAGCGGCTCCAGCGCCAGCAGGGGGGAGGGGAAGCGCCGCGCCCACAGCGGCACAAATTGCCCAAAATCCCCGGAATCGGCCCCAAAATATTTGTAACACAGCAGCTCCTGCGGGGGGGAGAACAGGAATAAATGAGGGGGAAAATGGGGAAAAAAGGGGGAAAATTGGGGAAAAAGATGGAAAATTGGGAGGAAATGGGGAAAAAATTGGGGGAAAATTGGGGAAAAAATGGGGGAAATTGGGGAAAAATGGGGGAATTGGGGAAAAATTGGGGAAAAAATTAGGGGAAAAAAGATGGAAAACTGGGAGGAAAATGGGGAAAAAAATTGGGGGAAATTGGGGAAAAATCGGGGAAATTATGGAAAATCAGGGGAAATTGGGGGGAAATCAGGGAAATTTGGGGAAATGGCAGGAAAATGAGGGGAAATTGGGAGAAATTGGGAAAATCAGGGAAATTTGGGGAAAATCAGGGAAATCTGGGGGAAATGGGAGAAAAATCAGGGAAATTTGGGGAAAATCAGGGAAAGGTGGGGGGAAATCAGGGAAATTTGGGGAAATTGGGGAAAATGAGGGGAATTCGGGGGGAAAATCAGGGAAATTTGGGGGAAATGGCAGAAAAATGAGGGGAAATTGGTGTAATTGGAGAACTGGGGGAAATTGGAGAAAAATCAGGGAAATTTGGGGGGAAATCAGGGAAATTTGGGGGAAATTGGGGAAAATGAGGGGAATTTGGGGTGAAATCAGGGGAATTTGGGAAAATTGGGGAAAATGAGGGGAATTTGGGGAAATTGGGGAAAATGAGGGGAATTTGGGGTGAAATCAGGGGAAATTGGGGAAAATGAGGGGAATTTGGGGGAAATGGCAGGAGAATGAGGGGAAATTGGGGTGAAATCGGGGGAATTTGGGGAAATTGGGGAAAATGAGGGGAATTTGGGGTGAAATCAGGGAAATTTGGGGGAAATGGCAGGAGAATGAGGGGAATTTGGGGAGATCAGGGGAATTTGGGGTGAAATCAGGGGAAATTGGGGTGAATTTGGGGACGTGGGGCCCACCTGGCCGTAGGTGCCCAGCAGGATTTCGGCGGCGCCGTCGAAGTCGACGTCGGCGACTTTGGCGCAAACGACGGCGTCGGAGCCGCGGCTGCCGGGCAGCGCCAGCGGCGCCGAGAGCCCGCGCCGGAGCAGGCACCTGTGCCAAAACATCCCAAAAATCCTGGGATTTCCCGGGGAATTCCCGAAAAATCCCCAAAATCCTGACCGAGAGCCCGTGCCGGAGCAGGCACCTGTGCCAAAAACCCAAAAATCCCGGGAAATTCCCGAAAAATCCCAAAAAATCCCCAAAATCCTGACCGAGAGCCCGCGCCGGAGCAGGCACCTGTCCCAAAAACATCCCAAAAATCCCGGGAAATTCCCGAAAAATCCCCAAAATCCTGACCGAGAGCCCGCGCCGGAGCAGGCACCTGTCCCAAAACATCCCAAAAATCCCGGGAAATTCCCAAAAAATCCCAAAAAATCCCCAAAATCCTGACCGAGAGCCCGCGCCGGAGCAGGCGCCTGTCCCAAAACATCCCAAAATCCCGGGAAATTCCCAAAAAATCCCCAAATCCTGACCGAGAGCCCGCGCCGGAGCAGGCACCTGTGCCAAAAACCCAAAATCCCGGGAAATTCCCAAAAAATCCCAAAAAACCCCCAAATCCTGACCGAGAGCCCGCGCCGGAGCAGGCACCTGTGCCAAAACATCCCAAAAATCCTGGGATTTCCCAGGGAATTCCCAAAAAATCCCCAAAATCCTGACCGAGAGCCCGCGCCGGAGCAGGCNCCAAAAAATCCCCAAAATCCTGACCGAGAGCCCGCGCCGGAGCAGGCACCTGTGCCAAAACATCCCAAAATCCCGGGAAATTCCCAAAAAATCCCAAAAAATCCCCAAAATCCTGACCGAGAGCCCGCGCCGGAGCAGGCACCTGTCCCAAAAACCCAAAAATCCCGGGAAATTCCCGAAAATTCCCAAAATCCTGACTGAGAGCCCGCGCCGGAGCAGGCACCTGTCCCAAAACATCCCAAAAATCCCGGGAAATTCCCAAAAAATCCCCAAAATCCTGACCGAGAGCCCGCGCCGGAGCAGG